ATTTTTTGAACCAGGCTGTAAACATGTTTTTTTCTGCTGTAAAGTTGGGCATTTTAACATGGGGAGTCTATGGGATTGACTCCCTTTTGCAGACAGCCTCTAGCGGCCAGTTGATGAATTACAGTTTAAGTCACTTCCTTGTTGGCTTCACGAGAGAGAGGGGGAGGTTGCCGCTTGGTGTGAACGCTCGGTTACGATCACATGTGCCATCAAAGTACCGCCAGAGCAAAACGAGACCAGCCACCTAGGTCAGGCGCTGCAGATGCTCAAAATCGGCTGCGAAAGTCTTGGCTTGATGACAACACACTTTATTCTCATTGGTCAGATTCTGCGAAGACAAGCAGGACGTGTGTTGCCTGCTTATTCTAACAATTCAATTCAATAATGCTCACAAATCTGGGTTTTTATAACAGTAAAAGCATTTTTAGTGTAGTCGCACTGTTATATTGAGTCATTTTTATTAAAAACACTGATAAAAGCATACTTGCTTGGTAGTAGCCTATGCTGAACTTTATTCTTGAACAGATGACGCTGTATTAAGCAGTATATAAGAAGTGTTTCTGTTGCTCATAAAAACGTTGCTGTGTATTTGATAAATATTGTATTTAATTAACTTAATCTGTGATAAGAGTATGCAAACTACCGGGAGCAGAAAGTGTCCGATTTGACGTCTCCGCTTTTAATTCCGCCCCGACTGCAAGCGGCTACTCTCGCCAGCCGGTGGCAGGCTAGTATAGTTCATCTCGAACAAGCCTAGTGACTGAGTGAGCCATTTCGGGAAGAGCGAGTGGAGCACGTGATCCAAATGAAACCGTTTGAATTTCCCATCTCCTCCCTTAATAAGAAGATCTCTGGCTGCGCTCAATTCTCGTGTGACGTAACAGCTAGCAGACTACGGTGTGCCGTTTGTGACCAAGAGCAGAACGCGCGAAGTGAGAGAATTCGAGCAGCATTTCAGGTAATGACGTTCAAACAGAACTTTTATTGACAACTTGAACACAGATCTGACGTTTAGAAGCGTGAAATATGCATGTTAATGATGTTCCTGCCGCTTAGTAGCACGTAATGTGAAGGGTTTGAAAGTCACGTATAATGCGCTTTTGGGGCCTCTGTGCCGCCGTCGTTTAGTACTCAATCGAAAACCCGCCTTTCCCGTGTTTCAATTGGTCGAACGCAAGAAACTAGCCCTTTGACTGGACGAGAACCAGGCCAGCAGAATAAAGAGTCAGGCAGGGTAATAGGAAGTAAAAAAGGAAACTGTTTCATGTCAGAGTAAAAAGACGCACATAGCCAAAAGGACGATTAAAAGTTTAATATTGCTGATTAAGGTTTTCCCATCAACTTCTCGAAACAAACGGTTTCGGCCAAAACAAAACACTTAAAAGTGAAACTCGCTATATTGTTGTACTATTGCTATAACACGCCAGTCTGTATAATCTTTAACGTAATAAAAACGTTTTAAATTAATACAGTACAATCGTGATAATAAAGTTATAATAACCAGTTTTACAGCAAGGTTCTGTTGTATTATGAATATTTCATTATTAATTAAAATTGGCATTCATTAAAAGGTTTATAGTTTATTATAAGAGAGAATAGATTAAAGAGGCATTCTAACTGGATTAAAATAACGCAGTGACCACATACAATATCAAAAAGTTAATTTCACATTTTAAAATCTTGCACTCCGATCTTCAATCCCCATGTTCTTTCTCACATATGATCAGAGTTATTGATCTGTCAGAATGCCATGAAGTTAACTGTTTAATTACATCTATTTACATCACAAGGTTCTACTTCAGTCCAATAATGACTGTGTTTTACAGTCATTTAATATGAATGAGTATACATTCGTATACATTCATTCATTCATGCATTTAATTACACACACACACACACAAACGACCCTCAAACAGCCAATGAGTACTGAATTAAGTTATTTTTCACTGCTTATTGTGCGTAAATGGTATTAACATAGACACAGTTAAAAAAAATACCCATCTTGGAAAGTATTAACATAGACACAGTTGGTTATATCTTACTTAAGTAAATGTAAACTATTGAGAAAGAAAACGTATGTGTAACAGTACAGTGCAGATCCGTGCTTTAGAAGCGTGAAATATGCATGTTAACGATGTTTCTGCTGCTTAGTAGAGCGTAATTTGAAGGATTTGTAAGTCACGTATAATGCGCTTTTGGGGCCTCTGTGCCGCCGTCGTTTAGTACTCAATCGAAAACCCGCCTTTCCCGTGTTTCAATTGGTCGAACGCAAGAAACTAGCCCTTTGACTGGACGAGAACCAGGCCAGCAGAATAAAGAGTCAGGCAGGGTAATAGGAAGTAAAAAAGGAAACTGTTTCATGTCAGAGTAAAAAGACGCACATAGCCAAAAGGACGATTAAAAGTTTAATATTGCTGATTAAGGTTTTCCCATCAACTGCTCGAAACAAACGGTTTCGGCCAAAACAAAACACTTAAAAGTGAAACTCGCTATATTGTTGTACTATTGCTATAACACGCCAGTCTGTATAATCTTTAACGTAATTAAAACGTTTTAAATTAATACAGTACAATCGTGAGTGATAATAAAGTTATAATAACCAGTTTTACAGCAAGGTTCTGTTGTATTATGAATATTTCATTATTAATTAAAATTGGCATTCATTAAAAGGTTTATAGTTTATTATAAGAGAGAATAGATTAAAGAGGCATTCTAACTGGATTAAAATAACGCAGTGACCACATACAATATCAAAAAGTTAATTTCACATTTTAAAATCTTGCACTCCGATCTTCAATCCCCATGTTCTTTCTCACATATGATCAGAGTAATTGATCTGTCAGAATGCCATGAAGTTAACTGTTTAATTACATCTATTTACATCACAAGGTTCTACTTCAGTCCAATAATGACTGTGTTTTACAGTCATTTAATATGAATGAGTATACATTCGTATACATTCATTCATTCATGCATTTAATTACACACACACACACACAAACGACCCTCAAACAGCCAATGAGTACTGAATTAAGTTATTTTTCACTGCTTATTGTGCGTAAATGGTATTAACATAGACACAGTTAAAAAAAGTATTAACATAGACACAGTTGGTTATATCTTACTTAAGTAAATGTAAACTATTGAGAAAGAAAACGTATGTGTAACAGTACAGTGCAGATCCGTGCACTAGGTCTTTAATTGACAGCAGCCTAATATACCTGCTCCTGTCTGTGTCCTCAATGTTAATCAAAACAAAAGAAAGAAACCGATAACAAAAGAAAGAAAATCTGTAACTGCTTTTGACTGACATTTTGTTTTTAAAGATGTATCTGTATTTATTTGTGAAGACTGTTGTTCAGTGTTATTTTACAGATTTGATTATTCAGTTCCTGTAGTATTTCTGCAACTGAACACTACTTTTATGCTAACCGAAAAACTTAAAGCATTGTTTATTACATTTGTATCTTTATTCTATTGTATGTATGCTATTACTTGTAAATAATTTATGTTTTTATTTTATTACTGACTATTTACTTGTCTTTACTTGGTTAAAATACATTTCACTCAGAGTTTGAAATCAAGCTTCCTTGTGCTGCGTGTAAGCTATTGTGCAACACAATTACCCAACAGTACACTCTAGAGCCGTACGCCTTCAAATTTCTGCAAGTGTCTTCATAACAATATAAATACAAATCAGCACTTAATTATATAAATTGTAAAAAACACAAATACATTGAGTTAGGAAATATTTTTGTAATTATTGTAATTTTAATTGAATACAGTCCATCATGCCTAAAAAAGCCCTTCAGCCGCCCGTGACTGTATTCAAATACAGAACGCCTCAAGTACCTTATTGCTTTTATATAAAACATTTACCTCACAATACAAATATTAAAGCCAAAATTGTATTTATATATTAAATTCTGAAAGGTCAATCATTAAAGGGGTCATGACATGAGAAATCAAAATTTCCTTGAGCTTTGACATATAAGAGGTCTTTGCACCATTAAAACACCCTGTAATTTCATAGCTTAAAATGTCCTCCTCATTATAAAAAAAAAAAGCAATTATTTAACCAAGCTCCAAAAATGGCTTGTTTTGGGTATTGTGGGATATTTGACGTCACACAGGTAAGGTTACAACTGGGCTAAAGGCACACCTTAAGAAAAATTTGCTTTTTCAGTACTACCATACTTTATCATTACAGAAAAAATATGTAGCCTATGTTTTTACTTAACATTGACAGAGCAGCAGATTTAGTTTTGTTTAAAATGTTTTAAGTGTATGAGGTGGCAAGGTGGGCCTTTTATCCCACACAATGGGTAAAAGTCACAAAGTATTTAAATTAGAGCCCGACCGATATATCGTTTAACCGATATTATCGGCCAATATGAGCCTGTCGCCGATATATCGGTATCGGCCAATATGCCACCGATATTATATTTTTTTTACAGAACGATCAGAGCTGATCGCGGCCACTCCGTCAATGCTGGTGTTTATACCGGCCGCACCGCGGCCCAGAACTCATGCTTATGCAACTCATGCAATAGAATTCAATTGTATTTTGCCACGCCGCTCGCGTCCGGTGTAGAATAGAACCCATTATAATCACCGGATTCAGTAAACTGATGCCTCGTTCTATTGACTGTATATATAGACTGTGTCTGTGAATATTAAACTGCAAAAAGACGATTTAAATACGAATGTTCTGCATGTTTATTGGATTACCAGAAAATACACAACACAGAGTTTGTGAAAAAAAAATATTATTCATTATTATTATTTATTCATTTTAGATGTTTACATTTGGAAAAGCTGTGCTTCCTGCATAAACCTGACCCTGTTGGTTTGGCTGTAGCTTGCTTGGCTGTAACATTGTTTAATTTCTTAATTCAAGTTATATATATTTTGTTCTCACATTTGAGTTATCATTGCAAAAAATGTGTTTATGTATATATATTCTGTTTATGTAGGCTATATACTGTATTCTATATACAGTACTAGTCAAAAGTTTTGACACACGAATGGGAAGTGTGTCCAAACTTTTGACTATACTGTACTATAATATAGCCTACACATAAAGAATATCGGCCGATATATCGGTATCGGCCTTTTTTTTACTCCATAATATCGGCCCCCCAAAAAAAACATATCGGTCGGGCTTTAATTTAAATACTTTAGCTAAAGTAATATGTTTTGAATAAAATTGTATAAGTTAATACATGTTCAAAGACAATCACTTTAGCAAGGTTCGTACTACAGTATTTTCTGTTTATTTTTATAAATAAATAATTTATTTTTCATTCATTAAAATGTTTGTTTTAAAAAAATTAATTAAAAAGTAAAGATTCTGAAAGTACTGAAAGAGATCCATAATAATTTAATATAGTTTTACAGTAGTAACAGTAAATATTATATTTCATTATATGATATGATTACTATCATATTTTAAATGTGATGGTTTCATTATAAATATGGTAATAATCTCTAATGTGGACACTTAAAATATGATTTTTACCATCTGAATCTAAACATGCCATGTCAACAAATGTCAACCAACTATTTATGATAATGTTAATTATTCTCCACAAAAATAAGCGCACATCTGCAACAAAAAACTCTGAGGATGCACAACTAATGCAAACAGTAAAAAGCAGGAAAAGTTGGCACACCACAGCTCCTAAAGTACAAAAATGTTTTATTTCATGTTCTCACCACAGGTGACAGACAATGAACACATATACTGATCAGGGCTCGCAAAATCACTAGCGGGGCTATTGTGTTTTCCAGTCGGGCTACCAAAATGTATCACCACTCTGCCCGACAGGCTATCTTAAATGCAGATCTCCCGTGGGTCCTTAAAAACTCCTAAAGTGAGTTGTATCAAACTTAAGGCCATAAAAAATTTAAATATGTTAAATGGTATAAGAAATGTCTTAATTATAATTTCAAGAG